AAAGCCAAAGTATCTTCCTGCTCGAGAGCGCCTTTGGGCAGGACCTACAGCACAGCGTGCTCAGCACTGGCAGGAGACCTCATTACCTTACATGCACCTCGCAGCCTCCCCATTTCCTCCGCCTGGACCGGACCCTCCACCCGTCTCCTCTTCGCTTCACTTTCCTGTGCTGGCAAGAATATTTTCTCAAGGCCATTTAAAGTGGCTCTCGCCTCTGTTCCTGACAGCTACTTAAAGCAAAGGGGGTTTCAGACATGCTGTAACTCTTGGTTCTTCCTGCTTAGCCCTGCTCTTCTGCCGGCTCAGCTAATGGGACGGGGCTGGGTGTCGGGACAGAGTTCACGCCAAACAGAGCCGGGGCTGCTTGCAAAGGCTCCAGTTGCAGCCCAGAACAAATCTGCCTTCCCCCCGAGGTCTCCCACTCTGCCCTGGTTGTGCAGCCCTGATATCCCAAGCCTGCTCTCAGCCACGTGCCCAGAGCCCCTTTGCCGAGCTCTCCGAGGGGCTGCTCACGGCTCCGCGGGAAGGCAGCGCCGCACAGCGCTGTGCCGCTCAGCCCCTGCGGCACACGCACAGTGCGCCCACCAAACCCGGCCCCTGCAGCCAGCGTCACAAGCTGCAGCGCCCAGCACCCCCAAAGCAAATATGGCCAGAGCCAAGGGACTTACATGCGTGATGGACCCTCGGTACGTGATGGGCGACTCGGGAGGGGGCCTGGACGTGGGCGTTCCCTTGGTGATGCTCCCTCCTGAGGCAGGGCCGAGTGAAGTACCTGTAAGACACAACGCCAGAGAGCTGGTGGCTGGATTGGTCATGCAGCACAAAACCTTGCAGGGTTGAACGTGCCCATGGCTAAGCCGGAAGGATTCAATCTGACCTCCAGCAAGCTGAGGTGTAAGTAGGGGAAGCCCTCCATGAGATTTCAGGTTAAACACAATACCTTGCATGGCCCTTCCCACCGTGTCCCCCGCGGGACCCAGTCTTGCTGAGCCTGGAGCAAGAAGGCGGAAATAACGTTCTGCGGTTATTCTGAGGCCACCATCTCCCTGCTGCCTTCATGAATGGGCTGGGCAGATTTATAGGCCCAGGAGAAAGGACAGCCTGTGTCAGCCTCTCCCGATACGATCAGAGCAGATCTCCAAAGAGATGCAGCTCGGGGTGGTTTGAGTTCACTCGCGTGTTATCTGCGCTGGGTCGGTGCCAATCCATTGCACTTCCTGCATCTAACTGCATTAGTCGGGGGTTTTCACAAACCAGAATTTGCACTTAAAAGCAAGACTTGTGCGCTTGTTTTCTACTTCTTAGCTATGGGGAAAGAAAAATGGGAGGACTAGATTTAAATGAAATGTGGTCCCTGCCCACCTGCAGCAGTAATAGCGTGAAATAGCCTGAAAATCAATTAATGGCACTTAAACAGGTCTTGCTTTGCTGTCTTGAGCAACAGATTGTGAGGTGCCCCTTAAACAGAAAAACAGAAAATTCCGACCAGCATCAATGCCTGAGACCTTGATTCTGGGAGAGGGCTAGGAACGTCCTGGCATCCATTTGAGATATTGTACAGACCCATCCAGTCACCCCTCTGGGAATCCGGCCATCAGGAGAGTGGGGGGAAAGAGGCACCTTCAGCCGGGCAGAAACCCAGAAATCCAATTAGAAATTACCGGGCAGCTGCAGCTGGTGGCGGCATTTGCCATGCTTGGCAGCAGCCGCATCCCTGCCCTCCCGCCTTGGGGTGCCATCTCCCGCTGCCAGCTGGCTGGCTCTGCACTCACCCCGCAGGATGGAGCCCTCCTGGGCCGGCTGCATAACCAGACTTTCCGGCTGGTTGGCCTGGCTTCTAGGAGAAAGTTGTTCCTGCTTTACTCCAGGAAAAGGCACTGGAAAACATTAACCACGTATCAGTTAGTTGCGGCGTGCGGGCCACAGCCCACAAGCTCTCAGCCTTAGCTGCTCTCCTTGATTTTTGCAGCCACTGCTGGGGGCTTTAATCCCACCCAGCCGGAGGTTTGCACCTCCTTGGCCCCCTCGCGTTCACCGCTGCAGATGGGCAGCGTCGGGACTCTTGCTGCCATTACGGTCGGCCGAAAATGCAAACGCA